AGAGAGAGAGAGAGAGAGAGAGAGAGAGAGAGAGAGAGAGAGAGAGAGAGAGAGAGAGAGAGTTGTGATGGCTATATTATCGTCAGGAGAGGAAAAAAGAGATGGAGTAACTATGAGGTAAGTTTTTGGCTGATATAGAATTAAACACAGTAAACAAAATATGTCCAAACTAGAAAATTTACAGCACATTTGCAGGGGTCTACCATCAGCCGCAAACGATTTGAGCCCGCTACTTATACCACCCCAATCCTTTTCCCAACCATTAGTTTCCATGTGGGGGTTAACCCACCGCAAAAAATCGAGGGTCAGGTCTGTTGCATGAACAAGCCCGTTGCCCCAGGCGAATCACGCGCTACACCAGTTCGGCAGGAACTGCCAAACGTCAAAAGTCGACGTCGCGAAAAAGTGTGTAGTGCGTGATTCCTTAAACATCAGTCTGTATCAGCTTGTACAGACCAATTATAACAGGGCTGCCAAACTTGGAAAGTTAGGTACACATGAACATTTGTAGGGGGCTCTTAAACATTTCTAATTTTCTATTTTCTTTTTGCCCAAAGAAAAGTGTGTAGTGACTGTAGTCTAGGTACGTGGAAATTTGCACCCCGTCTCTAACGACTGCTGTTGGGGCGCGGGGCAACATGAATCCCTCCAAGTTCGTGAGGCATCGAAGCTTGCAGGGGTCCCCTCCATATAGCCTTGGGAGTAGTGGTAGGTAGGTAGTGGAGAAAGAAAAAAAGAAGAAAGAAACTTGCAATCTGCTTGGATTGGAAGACGCACAACAAAAGAACATGGACAGGGACAATTTCAGATTTGGTGAATCCCGATGCCTGGTTTGTATGGATGAGAATGCTGACATCTAATGTACACTCAAAAATGTGTGTATTTGTGTCAGTAAGGTGCCTTCACAAAGTTTGGTTGTTGTTTCTGACTATGTGAGGGCACGAGTTTACTTGCTACTAGAGATATTTGAATGCTTGCAATTGATGAAATGGATTCTCGGAATGATTGAAGAAACTGGCCACTTCAAATGCTTCATCCTCTCTCTCTCTCTCTCTCTCTCTCTCTCTCTCTCTCTCTCTCTCTCTCTCTCTCTCTCTCTCTCTCTCTCTCTCTCAATGATGTCCTCGAAGCCCGGCCCGGCTGATGATCGACTGTCAACGTTTCTCA